TTAACTTTGTATTTTTTTTCCTGCTATAAGTTTTTGAACTTTTATAAGTTCAAATAAAAATAAAAATTCAACTATTAATGAAAGTAAGAAAGAATATCCATATTTATTATTTGAATTAATTTTAAGATTTAATTTAATAAAAATAATTTAAATGAGAGAAACAAAGATGGAGATATAGATTTTAGATATAATAAATAACAAATTATTTGAGTATTTTATTATTTTTAAATAATTTATTTTTTCAAGTAAAATTCCATTTTAATTAGTAGATATAAGAACTAAAAAATTGTTTAAATAGTTTATTATTCTCAAATAATTTCTTTATTTTTCATTCCCTATAAACTAATTTTAATTTATTGTAACGTGATTAGATATTTTTTTACTTTTATATTTGTTTTTAAAATTTTTGTTAATAAAGTGAGAAATATTGACCCTTTTTTTTTTAAATATCCATCGATTGAAAATTGAAAGATTCAAAGATAAAAATTAAAATTTGAGAATAATATAGGATTGTGAAAAGATAAAAATGATAATTTCTTTATATATATTTATGAGGTAGCATTTGGTAATTTTTATGAGTCAATATCTTTTATTATAAATATGAAATGTTATTATATTTATTTTTATTTAAAAAATTTAATACACAAATATGTTTACAAAATAAAAGAAAAATCCATGTTCCGTAAGTTGCTTTTGTATTAGGTGATGCTAGTTAGCATTGATGAAAGAGAAAAAATGATGAAAAAATGAAGGAAAGAGCATGAGTGAAGATAACAAATAATAATAAATAATAAAAAAATTATGTAATGTTGCTATTGGTTGCAGTGATACTATGAAAAAATGAATGAGAGAATAAATAGAAAGAAGAATGAAAAAAATAAAATAAAGAAAATTGAAAGAGATGGATAATTTCTCCAAATAGGTATTTTTCATACCCAAATAAATAAATAAATAATCAAATATCTATATTTATTTTTAAATTTTTATTCAAAATCTAATTTTTCAAAATAAGTATTCCTAAAATGAAAATTTACCCATAAAATCCAATATGAGTGAATGTTGATCCATTTTTAAAAGTTTTCTTATGAATTAATTAGCCTTTTTAGTTTTAAAACGTTATATGTATTTGATTTGGTGTCATTGGAGTTTAAGTGAATGTTCTTTTGTGATTCATTTTTCTAATTTTTCTGATTCATTTTTGAGTTGGGAATGGAAAGGTGAGTTGTAGAAGATTCTTTTTAGGGGGATTGGTGACTGGAATGTTGGTTGTCAAGTGTGAAAATCTTCATTTTATGTTAGTGTGATTTTCTGGTGTTACATTGGAGTTTTATATTAGAGTGCATTGATTGGAATATTACATTTAAAAAAAAACACTAAGGAGTTTTTTTGAAATATTACGTTGTTACGTTTGAAAAAAGTACACTATGAAGTTTTTTGGTATGTTATATTGATTAGAGTATTGCGTTTGAGAAAAGTATACTAAAGAATTTTCTTAGAATGATAGGTTATTACATTTAAGAAAAGCACACTAAAGAGTTTTTTAATGTGTTATTGGAGTGTTACGTTTAAAAAAAGTATACTAAGGAGTTTTTTTGGAATGTTACATTGTTACGTTTGAGAAAAATATACCAAGAAATTTTTTAATGTGTTACATTGGAGTATTACGTTTTTTGAGTGTTACATCAGAGTATTACGGGAAAAATATATTAAGGAGTTTTTTTTTTTTGAAGTGTTACGTTAAATAATTTCAACATGATGAGAAAATCTACATTTATCCATCAACACATGACACACACATTTATACTTGATCTTTTACGTAATTCACAATAAAATGGAACCTTTGGGATAATTAAAAAAAAAGAGAAGACCAAAAAGTTCATAAGATTAATATTTGGGATTTATTGGTGCTTCCCCCTTCATAAAATTAGAGATCTTTTTAAAAAATAAAAATGAGATTTTTATTGATAACTCAAATTTAGAAGTGTTTTAACCCAAGAAGTCCATGAAAGAATTTTTTAACCCACTTAGTCCCATGTATATATAGTTTTATTCCATAAAGTCCATTTTCTTGCTTTACACTATTTTCTTGGACACTATAGGACTTATTGAAACATAAGAAAATAATGTGAACTAAATGGAACATAAGTAGATGAAAAGGGTATTTTGGTCTTCTTATCTCAAATAGGACCTAATGGAATAGTCAAAAAGAATATGGGTTTGATGGAATAAAACTCTTATAAAATGGATTTATCAAAAAAACTCCCAATAAAAATTGACATCTTTTATATTTTGTTTTGTAATTTTTAAATAAAGGATTGTATTTAATTTAATATAAGATTTGATGATAATCAATGTGTTGGCTATTTTTTTAAAAATAAGGTAATGTGTGGTTATTCTACTATATATATATATATATGTTTATATGCTTGTCATTGTAAAGATTTTGGTTCTACGTAATGAAATGAGCAATGATTCCCTTTTTACAATAGATTGAATTTCTATGTATTGTTTAAACACATTTATTGATCTAAGTTAGGATGTAATAACACATAAGATATAATACATTAATCTCTATTTTTTTTTCAATTATTATTATAGATTTATATATATTGATGAACCGAATACGAAATGTTTAAGATTCTCTCACACTATAGAGCAAAATATAGAGTATTGAAAACATATCCAAATTATAGAGTAAAACATGACCCAATTACAAATTTATGCAATATTTAAGGATTGCTCCATGGATCCAGGAAGTTCATTTTGTTTAAAAAATAAAAAATAAAGAAGTTAATTTATTTTAACTTTCTTTAAAAAAAAAATCAAACAATAAATATGTTAGTTCAAATGATAAAATTTACATTATTTATGTAGTGTGAAATAAATTTTATGTGAAATTATTAAGGCATAATCTATAATAACATTAATTTTAGAGATATGCTTTCTTTTTAAGTATTTTATCATTAAAATTATAATTTTTTAGTTAAATATTTTTATAATATCTTAACAATTTAGAATTTTTTTTATATTGTATAGAATTTAATAATTTTGTTCAACAATATTAAAATAATGTATGGGTCTTTATTAATTTTTTTTGTAAAATCTTAGGGGAGATGAGTGAAATTTACTATTTGAATATATAAGGACAATCTTGAAATTTTTGATTCATAATACATGGCATCAGCATATTCTGTTAAATAAACTAACAAAAGATTAACGGTGGGAGAATCTTAATAGTAGTTTCAAAAGTAAGGAAGATTTTTGTAATTATTCAAACTACAAGAGAGGTCTCTGTAATTGTTAAGAATCTCTGGACAAGTGTAATTTACCCAAAAATTAATAAAATCAAATTTGACACCAACAACAACTTAAACTTTCAATCTTTAATTTTTTTTAATTTATATTCTAAAGTTTTAAATTAATCTCAATTCAAGCCATCCGTCTATAATATTCTTTTGTTTCATTTGTATAATTACTTTTAGAACATTATTGGAAATACCAACAAAATTATTTTAAAAGGGGTAAATTACAAATACACCCCCGAGGTTTGCTTAAAGTACAGATTGTCCCATATAGTTTGGAAAATTTCAAATACCTCCTTATTAGTATTTTTTATTTAATAGAATTAAAAAAATAAAATTCATAATTGCTCTCCTATACAATAATAAAATTATCTAAATTATTAATTGAAACATATTTCTAACATCATTAAAAACTGTTATTTGACTTGATGATTTATTAATAAAAGGGAAGATTTGTTATGAAATTAGAAATTTCAATGGGTGAAATGTAATTTCTAAAACTACAGAGAGCGATTTGTATTTTAATCAAATTTCATAGATATATTTGTAATTTACCCTTTAAAAAGTTATATACCATACACATGGGGAGAGGCTCACAAACTGTGCAACCCAACACTCATGTGAGTGAGCGGCATGTAATTTTTTTCGAAAATTTTGTAAATACGCATGTTTCTCTTATTTCTATGTTCTAATTTTGTGTTATGGGAGTTTTCATTATTCGAAAATTAACTGTTAGTGAGGTTCATCTAGGGATGGCTATTTTAGTTTGATTTGTGAGAGTCTGTCCATATTCGATCCAAATGAGACAGATATTATCCGATTCGACGTTTGTGTAAAGCGATGGTAGATTACATCTTGATCCTTTGCAATAGGGATAGGACGAGACGATCATCTCTCCCTATCCAAACACAACCTGACATAATTAATAATATATATAATTGGACATAAGAAAATCTTAAAAGTAGAAAAACCTAAGGTTTCGTTTGGGATGTGGGTTGGCTTTTTGGTTATTTTAGCCTGGGGCTAAAAAGCTTTGTTTGAAATATATGTTTTGGCTTTTTTAACTTTTATGAGAGAAAAAATGAAATAATTATAGTTTAGATGTAACATTTTGTCTTTTTGGGTAAAAAACTTATTTTGTCTTTTTGTGGTTAAAATAGCCCCAACCATACCCAAACTTTCATGCCAAACAAAGCCTAAAAGTGGTGTATGATTTTGTACATATTCTTGTTTGGAAAATGGAATGTGTATAAGAAATTGTAATTTGAAATGTGACCGAATATTTGCGAATCTCAGGTATCTATGAAGACGGGGTGAGATTGAAAAATTTCACACGTAACAAGGTTGGGACAAGTGTGGGAGTACAGTTTTATTCGCAAGCGTAGGAGTAGGGGAGGACAAATCCGCTCCAAACTTGTCCCGTGGTTATCCTGTTCAGTCAGACCCAAGTCACTAAGGGTTATTTTGGAAATATAATAAAAAGTCATCTTCTAACTTTTAACCTATTTTAAATTACATCATCTCTCATAATTTTTATACATTTTTCAAAAAAAATTAAAAAATCAATTTTTAACCATCATCTCATAACAAACCTAACCAATCCACCGACACATTTTCACAGTAAACCAAGCCTACCAAGCCCATGGGCCTTTAACATTTAGGGTCAAATTTGGGCCACTTAACAACAACCACCAAGCCCTAACTGCGTATAAAGTGGTGATCTGCCCAAAAACGACGCCCTCCCCGCCAATCTTATCTTCAAAACCACCACCACCACCACCAAAAATGTCTCACGCCGTGGTGACGCCGCCCTGTTTCCCCACAGTGAGGTCGGCGGCGAACCGGCCAAGGCAGAGAGGAAACACGAAACAAAACAGGAGCAGCGGTGGAGCAGCGTTGGGGTTCGGCGGAGAGAGGAAGGAGGATCGGTGGAAGTGCGTGGAGGATTGCGGTGCGTGCTGCAAGCTGGAAAAGGGTCCATCATTCGCTACACCTGAAGAAATCTTCCAAGACCCTTCTGATGTTCAGGTCTCAATAATCTCAATCCTAAATTCACTTACTTCTCATTTTGTGTTTCAGCTTGTGCGGCTCATTTTTTTATACCCACACAATTGTGTTTATATATATAATATATATTAGTGGACGGCACACGCGATACTTCCGCAATTCAGATCACTAATAATAAAAATAAATAATAAAGAATTTTGTTTTATTATGTATACTGCTTAACTCATAAGTATGTTATTAATAAAACCAACATTTATGTTCAAAACTTACTTATAGGGTATATAATAATTTTTTTATTTTAGCATATATAAATTTGTCACAAGGAGAGAAAGTTTTACTTAATTTAGACTTTCACTTAATAATAATATAATAGAGATATAGATATACTAGTGATTCACATACACAAATTCAAATAAGTTAAAATAAAACAAAAAATGTAACCCGTTGTATGACATTGACATTTGAGTGGTAAATGTGTTCTTTATCGAACCAAAGATCTTAAGTTAAGTCTTATCCATCTCTCTAGTTTTTTTTTTTTACATTGCCAAATCCACTCGGCGTGTAGAGAATTCAAGGCTTCAGGACCCATTGGCGTTCACTTTATATATATATATATATATATTAGGATAGAAAAATTTGTCACGTGATAGAAAGTAAAGTCACCACACTTTTGGACACTAAGTCAGTGCTCACATATATAATAGTATAGATATTATAGTTAGATAGATATAGATATTGATATACTAGAAATGGTAGGCACACATACACAATGTGTATACATATGATAAGAGAAATAAAATTGTAAAATGTATAATTGAATTAAAAATTGAAATATTTTATAAATCTAAAAAGACCAACAATTTAGTGATTTCAAAAATAAAATTTTAAAGTTGAATTCATAACTACCCATGTAACTGGCTTAAAAAATAAATAAAAAATAAATAAATAAAATAAAATAAAAAAACTGAATGTAAGCTATTGGGTTGTTTTGAGAAAATTTAAAAAATGAGACATAAACACGAACACCAATACAAGGCTTCGCTTTATAATAGTATAGATGAATAGATAAATATATAATAGTGATGGTTGCAAACACGATGTATTTGGTAATTTTACATTTAAATTTGTAGATAATTTCATAATTGAGAAAAATTACTTAGCAATTTTGGACGGTTTGATGAAGGAGAAAATTCATTCCAATGTATTATTAGGTGTGACCTATGTTACATGAACTCAGGTATGAGTATTAAGGGCAAGTGTGTATCCAAGCGTCAGACTTTCATAAATTTAAATCTTGGGATCTTAGGTTACATATCCAAAATTGGATATGGCGCAGACACATCATATGCAAATATATATTGCATATAATATAATATTTTCTAATGAAATGTTGTAAATTATGTAAAAATATACTAGAAATCATAATTGTCAAATTGGAATTTGTGTTGTGAATCAAAATGGTCTCATACCGAATCGTGAATCGTAAAGATTCGGTCATTTTTTCTAAACTACTTAAAAATATATATATCTACACATTTAGATGTTAAATATATCTTATGAGTACAAATATTTATACTTAAATCGATGAAAATGTTATTTTGTATGATAATCACGTAGTTTAATATGTAAGAAGTTAACAAAGGTTCCTTATGTAAGGTCACTATCTTACTTTTTTTCTTTTTTAGATATTTATTATCAACCATTCTTAATAAAAATAATAACCAAATAGACAAACTATCAATTTCTAAAGTAATAATAATTAATAACGATATTGATATTTGGATAATAAGTATACATACTTTTCTAAGTAATAGTGAGCAAATAATAAATAAAAAATTATTTAGAATTTGTTATTTTAAAGCTTATAATATTTTAAAAGGTATAACTGACCTCACACATGTAATATTCAATTATATTCAATTTAATAAAATAATAATAAATGATTCATAGTGTAACTTTAATTTTAAACATCTTTAGAATACATATTATGATTTTTTAAGGGAAAAAAAATGAGAAAAAAAATTAAAAATATGTTGGATCTGACTGAATCTGATTGGATTCTATTAAAAACTCCATGATTATTAAAATAATAACAAATCATGTATATATGTTGGTTATTTTGGTATTAAACGTTATTAGAAGTTGTATTATGTCATTTTCACTAAAAAGGTGGAGAAAAAAAGAGTCGAAAATATATCGGACACAATAATTTCAAAAATTGCATGAGTCTTAAAAAGTGAATCGAATCATGAATCGATTGTGAATCGTGCAATTCACTAGAGATTCACTTTCAAAATAGATTCACATATAGATTCGTATCAATTTTGCAAAAATTACGAATCAAATCGTGAATCAAATCGCAAATTGTAAGATTCTGATAATAGAGCCAAAAATTAAATAAGATTTAAGAAAAATATGAAATTTTTATATCTAATTCATGTGAGAGGCTAAAAATATTACTTTACTAACATATGTGAGTTTCTTCTTCTTCATGTATTGTCACAAATTAAAGAATCTGAGTGTCTAAATTAGGTAAAAGTGTTGGACACTTATCTCACACCCTTACCCATGTCATATCCGGTGGACACAGGTATTGTAGGAGAAATAGAAGGTCCATGTAACACAGAGTGACAATTATTGATGGGGGAAGGGAAATATTGAAAATGTAAATAATATGATAGCGTTCATATCTACTATGTATATATATGTATACTAGAAGATGTGCACATCACGGAGGTGTGTAGTTACAAGATTCATAGTTCTATGAGTGTGTAGTTGGAGAAGGGTAGTTTTACAGCAAGTAACTGCTCTTAGGGGTAATTTTGAAAATAAAAAAGAAATATGACAGTCACACCAACTTGAGTGTTGGCTTTATTTACTAGAAGGTGTGCACAAGATTCAGAGGTTCGTGAGTGTGCAGTTATAGATGGGTAGTTGCAGTTACACAAGGGTAACAAATGTCGAGGGTATTTTTGGAAATAAAAAAACGTGATAGCCACACCAACTTTAATATTGGCTTTATATAATAATATTGATATACAGGGGCAGAGCTAGGATTTTGTCTTGTGGGGCAAAATGTTACCTGGGATAAAACATAAAATTTGTTCATATTTGATCTGTGTTACTAGGAAATGCTAATACTCTAACGAATTACGTATTGGTATGCACGTTTCAAAATATGATATACTCGCGTTCCAAAACGGTAAATTTAGTGATTCGAAATGATCTCAAAAGTTTTTAACAATATATTTTTTTAAATAGTACCTTAGGAGGAAAAAAATCAAAAATATTGAACTAAAATCAAAGGTGACTTAAGTTTTGACTAGATGAAAAGATCAAAAATGAAAATATATATATATATATATATACTTTTTTATTGGATGCATAATAGTTAAAAGAAATTTAAATTTATTGTAGAAATACCTTCAATTCTTAAGTGTATTATATAGAAGTCTACCCCTATCATACCATATTTTAGAGCATGTGGTACACCACGTTTCAATTCCCGTTCTCGTTCCTGTTCCACATACCAAAGCAATCCACATTCCAAGTAACATAGTATTTGATAGTTAAAAGAGTAAAATAATTTGAAGGTTTAATAAAAATGAACACTAAGTTTGTCATAGTTTAAACAACATATAGGTATAATGTAGTAAATAACAACTCTGGAAACAAATTATTTAAAAAAAAGAAAAAAAAGAAAAAATTAACAATCATATGTAAAAAAAGAAAAAGAAAAAGAAAATACTACATGAGTGGAGGAAGAGTATTGTAGTGCCAATCTATAAGAATAAAGGAGATATCCAGAATTACAACAACTATAGAGGAATCAAGCTGATGTGTCATATAATGAAAGTGTGGGAGAGAGATGAAATGTCGATTGTGAGATATAACAGAGGTGTCAGAGAATCAATTTGGTTTTATGCCTGGTAGGTCAACAATGGAAGCGATTTATCTTTTGAGGAGAGTAATAGAAAAGTATAAAGAAAAGAAAAGAGACGTTTATATAGTTTTTATTGATCTTGAGAAAGCATATGATAGAGTGCCTTAGGATATAATCTGGTGAGTGTTAGAGAAGAAAGGGGTAATAAAATGTTACATTGATGTGATTGGGAACATGTATGAAGATATGGTGATCACTATTAGATCACCTGTTGGAGAGACAAGTGAATTTTCAATTACGGTGAGATTATACCAAGGATCAACCTTAAATCCTTATCTTTTTGCTTTAGTTATGGATGAGTTGATGAAAAATAGTTAGGATGATGTGCCATGGTGTATGCTTTTTGCAAATGATATTGTGTTAGTGGACGAGATTGGAGAATGAGTAAACACTAAATTTGAGACCTGGAGAGAAGCACTCGAATCTAAAGGATTTAGGATAAGCAGAAATAAGACAGAGTATATGGAGTGTAATTTTAATAACAATAACAATGGAAGTAAAAGAGAAGTGAAGATTAAGAACCAAGAACTGTCTAAGAGTAAACATTTTCATTATTTAGGATCAATTATCACAACGGTTGGAGAAATTGGAGCGGATGTGATCCATAGAATTAAGGCGAGGTGGCTTAAGTGGAAGAGTGTGTTTGGGGTACTGTGTGATAAACGAGTACCCACTAGACTAAAAGGAAAGTTTTATAGAACGGCTATTAGACCAACGATGTTATATGGGACGGAATGTTGGGCAACTAAGAATCATGTAGATAAAATGAGTGTTGCTAAGATGAGGATGCTAAGGTGGATATGTGGCAAGACTAGAAAAGACAGAGTTATGAATGAATATATTCGTGAATAGGTAGGAGTAGTATCGATAGAAGATAAGTTGAGAGTGAATAGATTGAGATGGTTTGGTCGTATACAACGGAGAACAACAGAAACAATAGTGAAGATATGCAATACAGTGATGGTAGATGAAAGTGTTAGGGGAAGAGGCAGACCTAGATTGACGTAGGCTAGTGTAGTAAATAGAAATATGAATCTCCTTAATTTGACTAACCAAATGGCCGTTGTTAAAGTTGAGTAGTGAAGAAGGATTCATGTAGCCAACCTCATTTGATGGGACTTAATGCTTGGTTTGGCTTGGTTTGGGTTTATGTAAAATTCATATTTTTAAAAATCCAATGGGGGCAATTTGGAAAAATTATTTTTGAACTCTAGGTAAAACAGTAATTATAAAAACTTAGCATGGATATTTGCCCCCACTCGTCCCAATGTGCAACCGCCCTAGTCTATAAGCTTGTGTTGCTTATTTTTTTCTACCTACATACACACATTTTTAGTACACCACACACACATATGCTTGCAATTGTGAATCTATATATTCATCATCTCTTGATTATGATGAATTTCAGCTATATAGAAGCCTAATAGGTCCAGATGGATGGTGTATAAACTTTGATAAAACTTCACGAACTTGCTCCATATATCCTGGTGAGCATTTTGATTTACTATCAGAGTGCATTTTCATTAGCTTCCTCCTAAAAAACTGACAGATTATGTCCTATTTGTGTTAGATCGTCCATATTTTTGTCGCGTGGAGCCAGAAATTTTCCAAACACTGTATGGAATTGACAAGAAAAGATTTAACAAGGAGGCTTGCAGGTGCCAATCCATCACTCCCATTTCTTGTCCACAAAGCCTTTTGACACTTGATAGTTAATTTTTGAGTAAAACGTTTTTCTGAGATTTGCTTCATTAATTTGTCTTGCTTGCAGTTGTTGTAGAGATACAATTAAAGTGGTATATGGTTCCAAATCAAAAGAGCTGGATAACTTTAATCATGCAATAAAGAGCGTAAGTTCTAGTTAATTATTTTGGTTTGCACAGTTGTGAATGCTCGAAGTCTTTATCTTTGAAATGTTTGAATAGGGAAGGTGAGGTTTTCTTTGATAATTATTTTTGTGGATAATGATTTTTGTAGCTAATGAGATTCATATATTGTTCTTACATATGGTTTTGTATAGATGTTGTCAATGTGGCTTCTGAAATTATGATTGCTAATATTGTTAATTTGTGGCGAAACGTAGTCCTGTGTTTATGTATTGATAGTCTTACTTTAAGGCTCGGCAATTTTTCATTTGTATCAAATGTATATTCATACTTTTTCTATAAGAATCAAACGTAGATTTGTACATTTTTTATAACAGGCTGAAGTATGTCAGATAGAAAAAAGTTTGTTGTTAGAAATTCCTTCTGAATTTCTTGCCCGTACGTAGAGTTTTCTGGGTTATGTACAAGAAAGAAGTTTTTGAATCACATTTAAAACAAAGTATCCAAGTCTAGGAATGTGATGTTACTCTGTAAAGATCTCTTACCTTTGAAGAAATTTGTTTTTTAGTTTTGTCTGATGGATCAGTCTAATTTACACTTGTTGGATTTGAACAAGATAAACCACTATTTTAATCTAAAATGACATTTCTAAAAAGGATGAAACACAAAGCACGGGTGTCAACTCGAATGTGAATTGTTCATAAGATTAAGGCCCAATTGCTCTGAAGGTTGGCAGGCTAAGGAATGATTTTTCTGACCGAGCATGCCGAATAAGAAGATTGATATTTTGATATTGCATGGAGATTCTGAAATTGGAAAAGATGCTCTTGGGGACAAATTGAGCCAGTTTTCCCAATCTTTTTCCTACCTTTCTTTTCATTGCTAAAGAGACTCTGTTCCAGAAGAATCACTTGGTTGCTGTACCAAATTCAAACCTTTGATGTTTCATAGAGACCTCAAAGATTGATATAATCTCAAATTACTAGAAGAAGAAAAATAAAAAATGTTTCACAAGTTGCAGAACATGCAAGAAAGAGACTACACTAGTGACCCCAGACAGAGCATTGGAGCTCAGCTTTTGATCCAGTATGCTGTCCTATATTTCTGAAGTTGACAAAATTCGTCTAGTACTATCTCACATTATATGGCGGTGAATGTACTGACTGAGCAAGCATAATCTTGATGATTATCCTCTGGCCTACTGTCAACTTTTCCAAGAACTGTTAGTCTAGTTTCTTGATCAGTATAGCTGGGGTCAAGGCTCTGAAAAGCGATTGCGGTCGTCATAACTGTGGCGATAACTCAGTTGCGGTTGCGGGGTGTAAAGATCGTAGCATAACGGTTGCGGTAACCGGAAGTGTAATTTTTTTTATTTTTCGTATAATTTGAAAAAAAATTACCGATGCGCTTTTTTTTTTTTCTTTCAAAATCATATTTATTGGGTTTTAAAATAAACTTCGATAAATTTTTGATAATTTTTAAATATGATTCAATATATTTCATATTTTTAAATCACTACAAAATGAGTTTTTTTTTTTATATTTTATTTCAATGATTAATGACTTTATATGTCATAAATCCATATTACACTTGTGGCAAAAATTTCTTTTATTAGACTTAAATGTATAAAATTATTTTTAATTATTATACTTGAGGAAGCATATGTAGATTTTAACTTAAATAGTTTTAAAAAAGTATACATTCTTAATGGAAGAGCTTAACAAAGTACATAACATCGTAACACAATTCACAAATAACAGAGATTACATTTTGCATAATGTCACTACTAAAATTACATAATGTCACCACCAAAATGAGTGACGTGGTGCGTTTTGGGATTTAGATTGTTGAGCTTGATTGCTGCTGCCATCAGCCCACCAAAATGAGTGATGTGGTGCATCTTGGGATTTAGATTATTAAGCTTGATTGCTGCTACTACCTTCACCCCATATAGTAAGAAATGTATAAGTGAATATTGTCATCATGTCATCCCTTTATGTTTGGTGCATTGGGGGAGAAAATGGATACCTTGGCTGAAAAGGATCAACATATTCTTCTTGGGTTTGTAGATAATTTGGCAAAGCGTATCCTATAGGACTATGTTGTTGAGGGGGCCAAGGGTAATTTTGTTGAGGTGGGTAAGGATAGCTCTCAAGCTGTTGCTCTCTGCTTCTTATTCTTCTTTCATCCCTACGTGTATCACTACCGTGAAACCTCCTAGGTAGTTGGGGTGAATGTGCAATAGGTTCTCCAACATCATAATGTTCTCCAACATCGCATAATTCAAACCCTCCAATAAAATCTTCACTTCCTGCACCAAAACTAGTACCATTACCACCATTGTCACGCCACCGTCACCGTGAGAAGTGCCCCACCGTCACCATCATCACCTCCTTCATCAGATGGTGTTAAACCACCACTATTTTCACTTTGAGTTGGGGTACGAGTTGAGCTTTGAGAATTGCGTCGAGTTTAATGTCTATGGGTGCTACCACTATTGTTTCCATCATTGCCATCACCATTGTTGTCATCGCCAGCACCACTACCACCATCATCATCATCTAAGACCAAATCTAGCCATTCAAAATTATCCACACTATCTGGTAAAGGATTTTCCCTTTTTTCTATCCATGGACTTATTGGATCATTTTCTTCAGATATGCAATCCAAGTTAATAGGATTAAAACTCCTATCAATCTTCTATTGGCTTCTTTTTTTAACGTGTCTCAATTTTAATCTCATGTTGTAAGTGACGAAGACTAATCTTTAGATTTTCTTATATTACAATCAATTCCTCGTCTTCATATGGATAAGACTAAAAGTACTCCAATTACGCTCACAGTGAGATGATGTGGTGGTTTGACTTAACACTTTCACAGCTATTTTTTGAAGTTCAAGTGCACAACTATCATGAATAATCCACCACTCAGCTGTACAAAATTACATTACATTAGACATAAGTCAAAATAAGATACAAAAATATTTAAGTATTCATTTTTTATAAATTTGTAATTTTGAAAATAAAACATGGATTTGATTGTTTCCATATTTTTTGTGCTAAAGGAGTACCAAAAGTTTCATGTTTATCTCGAAACAGCAAAAACTACAATTTGGACAATCATTACAAGTAATATTTGCAAATGTAGATTATTACTATTAAAATTTAAATAATTGGTACGTACTTAATTTGTTGCTTTCACTTGAGCATCCATATTAAGCTCTAATCTGGTAATTACTTTTTTAAATCCATCCATCACTGCTCTTATTATTTTATTAGATGAGGTAACACCATATTGGAATTGAGGATTTAAAAAATATCCTTCAAAAATAAAAAGACAATTAATAATTGAAAGTAAATATACATGTTATAGTTGAAATTGTAACACTTACTAGCTACATGTAAATCTTGATGTAATTGAAAAGACCATCAAGTATCAATAATTTTCTGTTACTTGGTATAATAGTGACAATCTCTTTTAATTGCCAACTTTGCTCTATCTATAGCTTCATATATGAAACCCATTATCGGTTTCTCATCCCCATCAACCAACCTCAATACTCTGACTATTGGCTCATGAATTTTACAAAGCTCTGTTGCTTTTTGCCAAACCTCCTTTCCCAAAATATTTTTTTTCACCTTGTAAGGCAGCCCATTCTTTGCCTTCCCCAGTCTAGAATTCTTCCACTCATCATTATTAAACATAGCTCTCAATTGTTGTTTATATCTAACAATACTCTCAATGGTAATAAAATTTGTATCAAATCCAGTGATGACTGGTTGAATCAATTCTCTATCTCTAGTGAATTTTTTTATTAAATCCAACACCCATCCACTATTATAAATGAAATTGGTGTTAGTTTTACTATCTTCAATCACCTTTGCTACACTTTTCTTATTGGCTATGTCTTTTAGCATGAGATTGATACAATGTGCCAAACAAGCTGTCTAATATAAATGTTTCCTTTTTCTTATTAACATTTTGTCGGTAACTTTCAATGCAGGTTCATTATCAGTCACCACTTGAACAACGTATTACTCTCCAATTTCATCAACAAATTTATCTAACAACCAAAAATAATATTCAGCAGTCCTACTAATAATATTAGAGGCATCAATTGATTTGTGAAATATGGTACCTCTATTGCAGTACACTAAGAAGTTGATGATGTGTTGCCGAGTTAGATTGCTCCAACTATCACAGATGATGGATACACCTCTCTCTGCCCAAATTCCCTTGAATGATCCTATCCATTTCGTCATTTTATCATGTTCCATGTCCAAATATACTTCAGAAACTTCATAACCACTAGGACCCTTTACTCATGGCCCTACTTCAACAGCAACATCAAGCATGGGTTGTGTATACTCTGAATTAACTACGTTGAATGGATTACGATTATAGAAAATAAACTTGGACACTACCAATCCCAATCTCTCCCTTAACCTCTGTAAATTCATTATAGAGATTTTCGCTGTTTTGTACTCTTGCTCTTTTGGAGTTCTACATCCATTGCTCTCAACCTTGCTTTAGGAGCATTGGACATAATCCAATTACGTCCACTCCCACCAGTTTCACACATGGATTGTGATCAACGAAAAACATTAACAATACCTGACCCTTTTGGCATTCTTTAACCACAACCCCCTTCACCAGAACTACCACCTGCATCATATTGTGATCCATGACCTGCAGCACATCGTCTAAATTTCTGTCTTTCCTCTCATTGTTGTTGTGAACGAATAGTTACTTGTCTAGCCCTGGTCATCTCTAGATCAGAGTCAGAGCCATCATCTCGAAGATGTACAAAATCTCTTTATTCATTCTTATCATAGAGATCATCTCCCATTATATGTACTTCTAATTCAGCTTTACTCTTTTGTTTGTTTGCTTTACTTATTTTCTTATCTTGTAAATGTTTCATCATTTCTTGCATCACGTCTCTACTAACATTAGGACAAGAATGCAATTGTCTCGTTTGATGTGCTAAGTGTTGTTTGAAACACGTAATCCCACCTTTAATGAGATGTCCACAAAATTTGTAAATAATATAATGCCTAGTGCCTTCAATTGAAGTTCCAAATTTACAACCAATATCATCACTTAAGGGGTTCATCATTGGCACCCTTTTGTCGTGGCATTTTTTAATTTGAATTCTACATCATTGATGCATTTTTTAATTTATTTTGAATGTTTACAAAATTATTTTTGAGCAAAACTTGAACTAACTAAATAAATAATATTTACAATTATTAAATGAAATGATTGTTAAAAAAAAAATGCAACCACTATTTATACATTTGAATTTTACATGTTAATGTAATCATATAAAAATTAAAAAATAAATTATATTTTTTTTTTTTGAACTATTGATTTTTTTATTTTTAAAAAAGATATTTTTTAAAAAAGAAAATTTTGCCATTAAAATTGTTGTCACAACACATTACGATAACAAAATAAAAAATATTTATAATTAAATATTAAATGAAATGATTATAAAAAAAATACAACCACTATTTATACATTTGGATTTTACATACTGATGTAATCAAGATTAAAGACATTTTTCATGGCATTTTATGAGCTATTGTTTTTTTATTTTATAGAAAAGACATTTTTTTAAATTAAAAAAAAATTGTACCATCAAAATTGTTGTCACAACACATTACAATAACAAAATAAAAAATATTTATAATTAAATATTAAATGAAATGATTATAAAAAAAATAAAAATTCAACCACTATTTATACATTTGGATTTTACATGCTAATGGAATCATATAAAAAGACATTTTTGATGGCATTTTTTGAGCTTTTTTTTATTTTTTATTTTTTATTTTTTTTTAATACAAAAGACATTTTTTTTAAAAAAAAATTGTGCCATCAAAATTGTTGTCACAACACATTACAATTACAAAATAAAAAAATATTTACAATTAAATATTAAATGCAATGATTATAAAAAAAACATGCAATCACTATTTATACATTTGAATTTTACATGCTAATGTAATCATATAAAAATTAAAAAATAAATTGTAAAGAAAAAAAATCATACATAGTTGTTTTTTAGGTTTCAATCAGTTAAATATTTGTTATTTTTTTGAATAACCTGCACACAAAAAAAAAATCAATAAAAACTAACATACATAAAATGTATTAATATAATTATAGGTGTTATGACTTTTAGATATTATAAAAAAAATCAATCATTAATTATTATATATAAAATACTAAAAGTAAGTGCTTAGCTATATATATTTTCTTTTTTTTAAATGAAAATTACTAAATATATCACCATAAATTTTTTTTGTTTACAAACCAGCTGGGGATCATTGTTCAAAACCAATTAAAAAAAAAAACAAAAGAAAAAAAATTGAATGTATATTTAGCTTTGGTTGTGAATCTTAAAAATTAAAAAAAAAATGGTTACCACACAAACTAAAACAAAACAATATTACACATCTTTCAAAGGCAGCCAAGCAATCGGAGACCAGTGCTTCAGAGGCAGCCAAACAAAGCAAAATAATACTAATCACCTTACTTGTTTTCACTTTTCAAAAAACACTTTTTAGAAAATTTTATTTTTTTATTTTTCGTATTTTTTTATTTTTACTATATTTTTTAAATATTTTTAGTAATTTTTTTACTTTTTAGACACACCTAACATAAATACACCTAAAAAGTAAAAAAATTGTAAAAAAAATCTTTTAAAAATTCACTAAATACCAAAAATACAAAAAAAAATACAAGAATTCAATACATTTTTTGTATTTTTATGTATTTATTAATTTTTTAAAATATTTTTTCACAAATTTTTTACTTTTTAGATACATCTAAGTAAGGTGCATCTAAAAAAGTAAAAAAAAATGTTTAAAATTTAAAAAATATTCACTAAAAACAAAAAAACACAAAAACCAAAAAAGTCAATTTTAGAAAAACTTAATCCAGAAAACTCAAACTAAACACACTGATAATATCTTCCTGAGGCAGCTAGAGACCATTGTTCAAAAAAAAAGGCAATCGAACAAAACTTTCACTTACAAAATCACAGGTTTAACACAGGTTCTTCATCTCCTTACAGAAGCAGCCGATATTATTCATCTCCTTCTTTATCTTCAACACAGGTTCTTCATCTCTTCTAGGAATGGCAACGGGGCGGGGCTGGGCCGGGGATCACCCTCCCCGTCCCCGATCCCCGATGGTTAAATTTCCCCTGGCCCCAATCCCCGACGAGGAACGTATCACCGCCCCGACCCCCGACCCCCGACGGGGATCGGGTTTCCCTGACCCCAAACATTCCCCGGCTAAAAAAAACAAAAAAATGAGATCAGCGTCTGGACCAGCGGTGGAAACAGATCTATAATCATACAACAGATCTATAATCATCCAAGTAAACAGATTCAAACAACAGATCTATAATCATCATCATCCATTAAACAGATTCAAACAACAGATCTATAATCATCATCATCTAGTAAACAGATTCAAACAACAGATCTGTAGATCGGAGTCTGGACCAGCGGTGGTAGTGGTGTCGATGACTGGTGTGCGATCAACGGCTGAAGACGAGAGTTGAGAGAGCAAACGAGGTGTGAGAGAGAGTGGTGGTGGTGTCGCCGTGTCGGTGACTGAGAGTGAGAGAGAAGAGTTAGTAACTGTGTCGCCGTGTCGGTGAGAGTGAGAGAGAGAAGAACGAGAGAGACGAGAGAGTGAGAGAGAGAATGAGAGTTGAGAGAGTGAGTCAGTGAAAGTGTTGAGATCTAAGAGAGTTAAGATCAAAAGTACAACTAATATTTATATAATACAAAATATAATACAACTAATAATATTTATATAATACAAAGAGATACAGAGGCAAAGATGAATCGGGGAAATTCCGGGGCAGGGCCGGGCTGGGGCCGACGAGCCTATCCCCGTCCTCAGCCCGAAATTGATCGATGAGTGATTTTTTAATACCATCCCCGTCCCCGCGGGGATATTTTTCGGGGAAAAAACCACTTATTTTGGGGTCAGGGGATCGGGTCCCCGTCGGGCCGGATTTTAATTGTCATCCCTAATCTCTTCCCTCCTCTCTCTCTATTTCTCACTCCTCCATATTTTCTCTTCTCTATGTATCCCTCTTCCCATGAACCACTCTTCTTTATTTTTTTTTTATCAAAAACTCAGTTGAAGATGGTTGAAAATTTGTGGATCTGGAGATATGAATCTCAATTGGAGAGTTTCTAAAGACTAAAAGCTATGGATCTATTCTGAATGTTATGGAATCTCATTTCAAAGTGGTTCACAGGCTGAAAAGAACTCAAGACAAAATCTGTTCAACCATAAAGGTATGTACAAAATCTGTTGAGCATTCATAGTTTTTTAGCTTTTTCTTTTGTTTTTTTCAAAAAGAATAAGCTCAAAATAGTGCGTAACGGGCCGTTCCGTCACCGTTATGGCCGCTATAGCCGCAAAAGCAGGGGTAACGCGTGGTGCCTACCTCCGCAACCGTTACGTAACACCAGATTTTGAAACACTGGCTGGGATAGATGAAATCGAGATCATCCAATCTACCAAGTTGATCTCCGTCAATACCCATGGAAAGCTTATGAGGGGGAACAACTGCCATATGGTGTCAGCCAGTATTGGGCTGCACGTGTACGAATTACACTTTGATGGTTGTTGGAAAGAGGATCAATTCTCTCTTGGATCAGGTGTAGGTACTTTCAACAATGCATATGGCAGCGGATGTCGGTGGATTGGAGAAGGCAGATGAAGCCTACATAGGCGAAGAACAGGGTGGCAGTGGTTACAGTTATAACAATGATGTGGAAATGCAGCCTGCTCATGATTATAATGCTACTTGGTCTTGTAGAACATGGAGGTGAGGAAGATACTCGTGACAATATAGTACAAATGCAGACGATACTGCACATGGAAACAACTGGGGGATTAGATGAAACTTTGTGAAAGCATATTTGGTGAGTGGCCATGCTTGTTAAAGCGCACAACCTGGAAAGCTATGCTGAAATACACAACTTCGCTTGAGATTTTAACTCTGTTATTGTTCAATTTTAGTCAATTTCTGTAACTTCGCTGAAGTTTTTCCTTATGCTGTCTTAGATCTCACAAACCTTTTTTGGTTGTGTAATAAAGGGATTGCTTGTGAAATTTGCTTTCATTACATACCTCTAATGTGCAGAAATCACCCTTTCCTTGTACCCAAAAAAAAAAATTTAAAAAAAAAAAAAAAAAAAAAAAATCACCCTTTACTCTGCAATCATCGGTACTTTTTTGGGCAAATGAAATCTCTATACAATCATTCAGTCATTGCTCTTATCATTTCTTTTTAATGTTTCCATAACCTAAACACAATCACATCCTCTGGTCCTGAGAATTCTACTCATCCATATGAACCACAGGCTGAACAAATCTCGGAAACAACATTAAACCTCTGCCCTGCTCACATTACACTTTCATGAGCTTTTTGTTTCTTTTTCTTTACTTTTCTTTCTCCAAGTCTGTGTTTGGATCATGGTATAGGAGAGGGATGTGGAAATGGAAAGAGATAAGCTAGATGAAATATAGAAATATTTCGCCTACGCTTTCATTTCTCTTTCCAAATTCTTACCCAAATCCATGATCCAAACACAACCTAACAATTTAGTCCATAACCAACTCACAAAATCATAATACAAAAGGTTTTGGGTAGTGATGTAACATAAGATGCTACTTCTCAAATTACACCACCAAGAGGCCCAAGACCTAACTCATCCTCAATGTCGTCGCCTTCTTCAAAGAGTCTTAGAAACCGGGCCTGCTCTTGTTGCCTCTTTCTCTTTTGCCAATACTTGTACGCAACCGCCAGTCCAATGATAAAAACAGTTGAAACCAATGCACTGATTATTACTGCCACGGCCCAATGCATTCCCTTCCTTCCATTATGGGAATCCGAGGCATGATTAGAATCTACAGAGACATGAACAAACAAAGACAAACACGAGATAAATAACTAAATAGATGTATTCTAATTCAGAAACAAGTGCACAAAAACATGAATACACACCACAACTATGCAATTGCAAGGTCAAGGAAGCAAAAATGATTTTTACTACCTAAATGTGACAATGGAAATGGTCTGATGAGATGTCCATAAAATCATGATGCTTGTAGATGCCCCATGGACAAACTATATTTTGTGTTCAGTAATGATTGTTTTTGAAGCACAGAAAACAACTAAAAATGATAGCTTAGAGAAATTAATTCCGACGAGATGCAATGAAGTCATTCTAATAATATGCATTACTGTTACTACACTAGCCCATCAATTTTGCAAGGCAGCCTTGGAATGTTCAGTCTGGATCAACTACATGAAACGATGGTATGTTAAGAAAACAACACTCACCGATTCCAAGAGGCTCGCACCCCGCACATACAAATGTAGCATTGAATTCCTTGTCTTTGAAATGTTTATATATTCCATCAGATTCACTAAAATCAGAAGGACAAAATTCCCACTCATCAAATACATCTGATTTTAAGAAGTCTTCCTCATAGATCCCGCATCGCTTGCATTTTGAATTTGGAAAATCTGTCAAAGGCTGAAAACATATAATCACAATTTCAACGTGAGATTCTTTAGCGGAATTCTCCATACTTAACTTTAATGTAACAGACATACAATTGTGCAATCAAATCCAACAATTGAACCAGCAAACACATGGTTCAAGTAGTTAGCAAGTAAATTATAGATACATCAAACAAATGAGTGGACTTCGCATGAAAACTCAAATGTAGAGGAACACCTGCATTTTTATCTCTAAAATTTAAGTGAAAAATCAAACAGACTTCCACTGCAGATAGGTATGGGTTTATTTACGTTTTCCAATTTTGAAAGAAAAACAACACGCTCATACAGAGGAGTCAAGTTGTATCTTGTCAGCTTCCCTGACTCTATGACAAAAACAATGCAGGTACAGTAAAATCTATTAAATTCCTTCACACTTATATTTGCAAGGGCTTTTCAGCTAAAACACGGTGTCACATCTATGTTAGTAATCATGTTTGATTTGGGACCTAGTGCAGGAAGAAGAAAAATGAGATCAAAGATGTCACTAATTTGTCAGGAAAAAAAAAATGATCATCGATTATCTTGACACACACCTTTGTGTTTATGACAAACCCAAAGAATGCTTAGATTTCTTGGAAGGTAAAAGAATGCTTAAATGATTCGTAGCATGGCATGACCGGCAGTTATATTTCCAATAATTTTCATAAGTATTCCAATGATTTTCTGGTAAAAGTATAGCTAATGAAAAATACCAGCATCGGATTTTAACACATTCACTCATCACAAACCTGCCAAGATTCTTCGCCCTTAAAAGTATAAGAGACATAAGTTTTCTTCACATCTGGCAAATAAGTCTTGTTCTCTCCTTTACACTGAAAGTAAACTGTTGGTTTGGTTATCCATTCGTGTGTTTTAAAAATTTCGATGGAATCAAGTGTAACTATTGCTGACAATATGGACCCTGCAGGGAAAAAAAAAAAGTTATGTATAAATATGGATAAATTGTTTAATTTAAAAATATATATATAATATGCCACCAACTAGAATGTCATGAGAAAGTTGATGCCACAGGCCACAACTACACAACGCATAGCTATTAAATGTCATTTGTGAAAATTATCTCCAGGAACATGGATGCAGAAATGAAGTTGAAAATGTTCAACATAATAGTCCTCAAACAAATGACGAAAGGAAAGTAGTTTACATAGCTTCATAGTGAGCAAGATAATGATAAAGATACTGAAATTTTGATTAAAATGTCAATATAACGACCAGTAACCTAACTGAATTTCCACTGGCAAGTAAATGGGAGACACATATCTGATCACCCCAACTCAATGTAACAAACACAATGAACGAAAAATATTGACACTAACCCTCACGAGACTAGCAGATAAACTTAGAAATACATCCCAGATCAGTTTTCAAGAATCCTTACTGACCATTGCCAAAGGAAGTAACAAAGGTAGATTCTTAGAAAAGTTGGAAAGAATATTCACGAAGATAGAGACTTGAAGTTCCCACTGTTTGTAAACTGTGTTCATAAATTCTTCGGGCAAAGTTCATCCAAATTGAGATACTTTACGTGCCTCAGAGGGGAATACACTTTTTCCCCACGGCCTCTGTTTTGTTATCAAGGAGCACGAGAGGAAAGAAAGCAAAATACTCAATAATGGCTTCCTTTCTCATGCAAACTTCAACACTCTCTCTCTCTCTCTCTCTCTTCCCCTCTTCTTTTTTCCCCTCATTCTTTATTTAGAATGAGAAATATGAGAAATCCTTTTTAATCATTACAATTTGTCAAGGGCTTCACACTTAGTTAAATTAAATAAATTCATATATTATTTTATTAACACATCCCAATACAACTTAGGTATTCCCCTCCCCTTAACATTTCCATTTTTTGTCCACTGTATTCACAGGTTTTGCATTATACATGATCAAACCATCTTAGTTTGATATCTCTCAATTTATCTTCAATTGATGGAACTCCTATCCCTTCACTAATATTCATTTCTATTTCTTTTTTTTTCTATTCTTACCATACATTTATCTAAGAATCTCCATCTCAGCGACAATCACTCTATGAACATATTATTTCTTAGTAACTCAACATTTTGTCCCGTAAAATATCATTGGCCTTATAATTATTCTATAGAATTTTCCTTTCAATTTCATTGGTATTCGTTGCTCACATAATATGCTAGAAATACTCTTCCACTTGAGCCAACCTATTTTGATTCTATGAATCACATTATCTCTAACTTCTCCATTCTTATTAATAATTCAACCTAAATAAGGAAAATGCTCACCATTAGTAATCTCTAGGTTTTTCAATCTTCATTTCTCTATTATTTCTACTTATAATGTTACTAAAATTACATGTCATATGAATTTTATTTCTACTATTTCTAAACCCTTTTGAGTCAAGTATTTCTCTTTAGATTTCTAATTTAGTTTTAATTTCTTCCTTATTTTCATCATCTTAAATGTGTTTAGTTAACTAGACCATGATTCAGAAAAATAGGTAAGGATTTGAAACTGACCCTTGATATAATTCTATAAGGATTAGAAATTCACTTAGCTTCTCCTACAGATAATTTTATTGTAATTTATATGTGTTTTATCACGTCAATATATCATTTGGTCACACTCTTATTAGGCAACCTATTGTAAACTTTTTGTAAATCTATAAAAACATCTCTTCTCATCTCTCTATACTTTTCTATTGATATTTTTAGTAAATATATCGCTTTCATAGTTGATCTAAAAAGCCTAAATCCAACTTGATTCTCTGACACTATTATTGACCCTTAAGTTATGCTCAATCACTCTTCCACAATTTAATGTTCAATCATGTTGTTTGTTGTTATCTCTTTTATTTTTTATATATAGATACTAAAACACTTTTCTCCACTTGTGATATATTTTCTTAATCATTAGAATCTTATTAAAGAATTTTGTACACCAAGACATCTCCTCCTTTGGCATTTTCAAGCTTCAATAGGGAAAACAATGTAGTTCTAATGCCTCAATTGATGTTATATTCTTTACCTCAAATTCCACGTTAAATCCCTTAGGTAACGACACAACTTATATTCTCTAGTTCCATTAAAACTATCATGATTCATATTCCTCTCATCTTAAACTTTCTAAGGTTTCGTTTCAATCAAGGATTTGAGGAGGACTTTCTAAAGGGAACATAAAATGTTAGGGAAAAGTTAAAACTATAAGTTTTATCTAATTCACTTTTCCCCTCCTTTTCATTTATTCCCCAAATCCTTGATCCAAACGCAATCTAAAAAATTTTCATTTCATTTAAAAATAAAATTAAAAACCAATGCAAAGGAAACACATGTCCGTGTAAGCTTCAATTTCACATAATCTCACACTTCCTCTGTATAATCTTTTCAACAAGCTTCAATTTTTGACATCCACTTCCACCCTGACGCAATTCAATCTCTCCATTCCAATACACCCATCTTTTACAACTGATTATAAATTATAATTAATCAAATTCACGGTCTCTAGTAGAAAGCAAGAATTAAACACGATTCACACTAAATTCTACAACCAGCTACCAGCTTATTTACTTCAAACAAGTCCTAAAACTACAAAAAAAAAAAAATCCAAATTGCAAATTGCAAAAAATTAGGGGAAAAAAAGAACAGGTTAATTCAATCATCATAGGACAAACACTTCATAATCTTCAAACATAAATAGCCAAGAGATAAATGATTCATATATTCTGGAAAACTTGCAATCAAGTACGAAATAGGGGATTCATATATACCACCAATCAAGAACACAAACCCTAGATTACCTGGAAACCAGCTCAGAATAATCGAACATAAGAAAAAAGCATGAAAAGCCCTAAAATTCAGTCGAAGAAGTAACGACATAGCGATTCGTGCTCCTCCGAAGAGATCGATCGACTGATCAATCGATTGTTCGTTGAGAAATCGAACAGAGGATCGTTGAACAAAGAGAGAGAAAAGGAGAGTGGTTGATCGGTTCGCGCTCTCTTCCCAACGGTCACAAAGTCTATTTTACGCAGGGGGCGCAGTTCGCATACATCACAACTCACATTTATTTGAGCTGTGATTGGGAGCCCGAATGTGGGAGCCCGAATGTCCCTAATATACAAAACGTTGTCGTTTTTGTATTTTTTGTATTTTTTTTTTTCAGCAGAAGAAGGAAGAAGACTATAGCGATTCTGGGTTTACCCTTGTTGTACAGTGATCCGGACAGGTGTCCGTGGATGTTGGCAGTTATTTATTATCTTGTTTACATCCTTTTTTACTTCGTAATTGAGTTATAGGATGTGTTGGGTGGGTTTGTTACAGGTTGGTTGAGTTTAGAAACTAAAACTAGTTGCCCAGATTTTGGCCTGTACGCTCGAGCGGGGGTTTTGGCGCTCGAGCGGAGATTACACCCATTCAGTATTTTTCCTGTGCAGCGTTGTACGCTCGAGCGTGGTATTGGCCGCTCGAGCGGGGTTGTCTGAGTGGCGCTCGAGCGTAGAGTTGGAAGCTCGAGCGGAGGCCTGGTTCTGCATAAATGCTGGGAGAGTGCATCCGGCGCTCGAGCGGAAGTTTGGACGCTCGAGCGGGAGTCTGTGAGTGACGCTCGAGCGGGGTGTTTTACGCTCGAGCGGGAGACTGGGTTTAAGTCCCGAAATTGTGACTTTTCAAATCACTTTTTACTTTCTCTTCTCTCTCTTACTTTTCCAAAATCACCATTGTTGAGCCTCTCACTCTAGAATTCTACCTTCTCTCTAGGTTTTGATCTAGTAGGAGTGATTTGCTCACCTTGGGCCTTTACAAAAAAGTTGTTGATCGTCGAAGGCTACATTTTAATCTGAAAATCTCGGGTTTTGGAGCACGTTGGGTTTTGTCGTTTTCTCCTTTGGGACTCCGAATTTGAGGTAGGGATATCCTACTCCTCTCTATGGATTTTGTCTTTAAATTTTAGTACTTTGAGATGTTGGGGTTAGTTTGGTAATTTTGTGAAAGTTTGGGGCTTTTGTGTTAAGTTACAAAAGTTAGGGTTTTATTCATAATAAACCTAGATGCATGTTTGGTATAGAGAAATGGCATAAATGTTAAATCGTTGATGAAAATGGGACCTAAGGGTTGAAATGGTAATTATGGAAAATGGCCTAATTACATTGTTTAATTAATTGGGATAATTAATTAAGAAGAATGAGGAAATGAAATGTTGATTGAATATCCATTGTGCATTTATTTTCTGTATAGAAATAACTGCTTTGGGCTATCGGTGGAGGATAAAAGTTGGGGTTTTATTCATAATAAACCTAGATGCATGTTTGGCATAGAGAAATGGAATAAATGTAGAATCATTGATGAAGATGGGACCTAAGGGTTGAAATGTTAATTATGGTAAACAACCTAATTACATTGTTTGATTAATTGAGTTAATTAATCGTGAGAAAGGGAGTTATGGAATGGAAATGTTGAGATTGGGAATGTATGGGGTTAAAGGGAGTAGTTGAATTATTCATCACTCACCGAATTGAAATGTTGATAATTATCCATTTGTGCATTTATTTTCTGTTTAGAAATATCTGCTTTGGGCTATCGGTGGAGGATAGTCGTGATTGTTGTAGACAATGCATGATGATTAGGCAAACGGAAACTAATTAATGGAACGTGTCAGGGAATTTGACGGTTGATAGAATACATTAACTGTATGTATTGGGTGTTTGTATATAGAACCAATGTGTTTGTATACGTTATGTGTAGAGGAGGAGATGGGGGATGTACTCCGCGGTTTAGGGTGTTATCCCAGATAGGCAACCCAAGAGGGGGGGTGAATTGGGTTATTAAAAATTTTACAATATTAAAAATAACACAATATTCAGAATTTAAATAAATAAAAAAATAAAAATAATTATCAATATAAAAGTAGGAGAGATAGGGAGAGAAAATCAAACATTGCGATTTAAAGTGGTTCGGCACGCCAGGCCTACGTCCACTCCCCAAGGAACCTCCTTGAGAATTCTTCTCTCTGCGTTTCAGTCATACAGGAGGGAAGAAAGAAAGAAAGAAGAAAAAGAAGAAGAAAAAAAAGGAAACTGCCCAAAACGACGTCGTTTTGGGCAGTAAGGGGATTCGGGAGAAGGGAGATTCGAGCTACAAACCATTTTCCTTTATTTTTTTTTTACTTTAATTCTTCATGTTTCAATATTTTTTCACTTTACTTCTGAAGCAAACTTTTGTTCGCAATTAGATAAAAAAAAATGTCACAATAATTATCACATAATATAAAAAAATATATTATTATATTGAAATTTAATTTTATATTAGAGGTGTGACTCATATATAATAAAATATTTTTATGTCACATAACTGATAATGTGTCATTTTCTATTTAATTTTTAACAAAAATTAGTTTTAGGATTAAAGTGAAAAATATAAAACATGAAAGGTTAAAGTGGGAAAAAATAAACTTGAAAGGCCAAAATGAAAAAAGTGGCCAAACATAAAAGGGCAAAGTGTGATTTACCCAAAATAATATTTTCAAAATTTTCAATTATCTTTTTTTAATTTTAAAAACTCAAAATTTTATTTTTTAAAAATGAATTTTAGATAATTTTTCAAATTATGCTACTAAATCTCTCCATTTAAAAAATAATAATAATAAACTATGTTTTAGAAGAAATTCAATTATCTTTTTTAATTTTAAAAACTCAAAATTTTATTTTTTAAAAGTGAATTTTAGATAATTTGTCAAATTATGCTACTAAATCTCTCCATTTAAAAAATAATAATAATAAACTATGTTTTAGAAGAAATGACAAAAATTAAATATATTTTTTAGTTATTTTATCTATGCAACCAAACACACCTAACAATCTAATTCATAAGTGGTATATTTTAAGACAACCAAACAATACCAACCATATATATTCAACTCACACTTCTTCGATTACTATAAATAAATTGCTATGTTTTTCATTTTATATAAATTTACATAAATAATTTATTGTTTACATTGGATGTGATTTCGCTAGGCAAAGAGTAATAAGATTAGGCAAAGCGTAAATAAGACTATTTACTTTTCAAAATAATACAATAATGTGTGATGGGAATAACTTTTCTTTTTGGTCATGTTTGTTTGGGTGGACATGAGCTTGGGATTGGACTAATAGTCCAATAAAATTATTAATCCGATGTTTGGTTAAACAATTGAAGTAGAGACTAATTATTTTAAACTTGACTATTAGTTAAGATAGGATACATAATCCAACCGATTCGTAGTCCTAGGACTATTAGTCATGGGAATGTTAATCCAGTCCGCCCAAACAAACATGGCCTTTAGGTATAATATACTAATACTCTTTTGTGTGTGTGTGTGTGTGTGTGTGTGTGTGTGTGGGGATATCATTTCGGGTGAGGACTGTTTGGTAGGTGTGCAAATGACAACTCGTAGGAATCTACAAGGTAAGCAAAAAATGCAGCATATGCCATTCGTAATAGTGTTTACATTCCTATTAGTGTTTAATAGAATAACCCAATATATCATTTTTAGAGTAAATTATACTTACATTAACTTTAAATTTAATACATATCACTTCTTAACGTTTGAAAAATTACACATATTTGATTTGCTTTATGCACTCTCTCTTTTCTTAGTTTGCTTTACTTCCTTTTTCTTCTTCTTTTTTTTTTTTTTCTTCAATGTAATTTCTTTTGCTTTTTTACTAGGAGTTATTGCCTCCTATATAAGCAGTAGGTTTATGAAATGAGACTATTAACCATAAGAGTGGAAATGTAATTTTCAGAATATCAGAAGATAGAATGTAATTTGACCAAATCTCAAGAGATGTCAGTGTAAGTTATCCTACTTTTCTTTTTTCAAAACACCTAGTATTTTTTGAATGTGGAAAACAAAAAGAATATATTTGCTTTGTCTTTAGGCTAAAGATGTGGATCTATAACAACACTATCAACTTATTCTTATCAACTCAAAATTTACCTTAAAAAAGAAATCAACTGTTCAAATTTATTTTACTCATGAATCCCACATTTCATCAATTTAATTTTCACCACAAATATATTCAGAATAAATTAATAGGTTCATAAGTATGAGTTCCTAATATTTTTTTATCTATAAACTGAGTATTTATTCATAAATATTAATAAACTTAGCTGGTGAGTGGATAATCAAAATCAAGTCTCCGTTTGGGAAGTGGGTTGGTTTTTTTAATTTTTTGACTTTTTTAATTATTTTAGCCTGGGTTAAAAAGTTTGGTTTGTGAAGGATTTTTTTGACTTTTTGACTTTTTTAGTTTTTTTTGTGAGAGAAAAATGTAATGATTATGGGTTGGATGTGATGTTTTGTTTGTTGTGGCCAAAATAACATATTTTGTCTTTTGTGGCTATTTTAGCCACAAACCAACTTGCCAAACAACAAATAATATATAGGGACATTTATACACAAGTCTTAATTTATAAACTTATATTCTATTAAGTTCTAATTAAGATTTTTTAAACCTTCAAGTCCCATTTAAATTTTAATAATCAGAATTGCCCTTTAAATAATGATTATTCATCATTTATGATTATCTCTAAAAGAATATGATGATTTGACATTTATTTTGATTTTTAAAATTGTAAAATATCAACTTTTAAATTGAAAAAAAAAATTAAAAAAAAATTATGAGGAAAAAAAAATTGTGTTTGGTTTCAGTTTTCTGAATTCAGTTTTTTGAAAATTAAGTTTTTTGTTTCTCGTGTTTTTTTATTTTTAGTGAATATTTTTAAAATTTTAAGTAATTTTTTTATTTTTTAGATACACTTTACTTAAATGTATCTAAATAGTAAAATATTTGTGAAAAAAATATTTTAAAAAATTAATAAATACACAAAAATACGATAATTTTTCTTTTTTTTTTTGTATTTTTTGGTATTTAGTGCATTTTTTAAAGATTTTTTTCACAAATATTATACTTTTTAAGTGTGTTTATGTTAGGTGCGTCTAAAAATTTTTAAAAAAAATTACTTAAAATATTAAAAAAATTCATTGAAATCATTAAAATATGAAAAATAAAA